TATATTTTATATAGAAAAAAATATATATATAAATAATATATGTAAAATAGAGTAGTATGAGGGGAATGGAATTCCTCTGAGGTTTTGAGTGTAAGGTCCAATTTAAGTATAGTTTTGAAGAAAAAATACAGGCAAATTATGAGGGCAGAAGAAATACATATTATTCATAGTTGATCTGACATGCTTAAATTAGGATGTAATGGGAAAAGTAGCTGTATTAATGTAATTTTCATTCATGCTCAGAATTTCTTTCCTCCCTAATACATATTTCCAGGGTGAATTATCCACTCACTTTAAAAGTGCCTTTCAGGGGCTTCCCTCGGGCGCAGTGGTTGAGAGTCCGTCTCCCGATGCAGGGGACAGAGGTTCGTGCCCTGGTCCGGGAGGATCCCACATGCCACGGAGCAGCTAGGCCCGTGAGCCATGGCCGCTGGGCCTGCGCATCCAGAGCTTGTGCTCCGCAATGGGAGAGGCCACAACAGTAAGAGGCCCGCATACAGCAAAAAAAAAAAAAAAAAAAAAGTGCCTTTCTGCTTAACTAGTCTTTCTCAGTTCCTCAGTAAGCCTGAGAGATGCTCCAATACTTTGGTCTGGAGCACACCCGATAATAAAACTGTAGTTCAGTTTTACATTCCTAACTCACCAGGTAAACTAGCCTTCATCTGTTGAGTGTATTGTATTCCAAAAGTTTGTTACCAATTCTGTTTTTTGAACTTGACAGTTTCTTATAAAACAATTTAGTCAGTTTTGGTAATGTACCTGAGTCAACCCTTAAAAGCCCCATTTTGACCCATAGCATATTTGAGCCATATAGGTACTAAGTCTGAATGTTCTGACCTTGAGGCAGGCAGCCATGTGCTACAAGAGGAAAGAGGAAGCAACTCCTTTTTTAGGCACAGGGCTAACAGTAGACAAAATATTGATAGGATCTGTTTGTTTTAGACATTATCACCTTCCCTTTTCATACTCATTACTGCTTCCCAGTGACCCTCTCCCTAGTTAGAGCCCCTAATGCCTTCATGCTTGCCTTAAGTACCCTGCCTTGGACTTTTCACCTAGACCTGTGAGTTCTTACATCCCAAGGATCCTTTGCTCTCAATTACCTGCGTTTCCTGTCCCATTTGGGCTTCTGTTCTATTGTAGTAACTGATCATACCTAGATATTAGGAGGTGTAATGCCAGCTATCAGCCCCTTAACCTATCAAAGAGGAGTTTGTATTTTAAAAAGAGGATACAATGTCTATTAAGACAACTGACCTAGATTCTTCAAAAAGTTACTTGGGGGAAAAGAGATAAAGGAGAGAGGCTGTTTTAGATTAAATGAGACAAAGGAGACATAACCAAATGCAGAGTGTGAACCTTGTCTGGATCCTGGTTTGGAAAAAAATAAAAGCTGTAAGGGATATTCTTGGGACATTTAGGACAATTTAAATAGAGAACTTATATTAAAGGATGTACAATGATTAATTTTCTTAGCTGTGATCATAGTATTGTGGTTTTATAGGAGTTCTTATTGTTTGGATATGCATGCTGAAGTATTATGATCTCTAAAACTTAAAAATAGTTTAGGAAAAATAGAGCAAGTATAGCAAAATGTTAACAATTGTTGAATTCATACAGAGGGTATACAGATAGATGTTCATTGTATTATTCACCTTTTATGTGTGGTTGAAAATTTTCATAGTAAAGATTTGGAAAACAGGGAAGCTGTTCATTAGTATAATATTCTTTAGATTGTAAAATTTCATGCAATTGAGAATTCAGGCAATATGGAGAACTTCATTTTTTACTACTTCTTCCCTATTCCACTTATCATTCATTCAAAGATTCACATATTGTCCTATTGACAGCAGCTGCTCTGGCTAGAGGAAGGAAGAGTTTCTCAGGGCAACAACAGCTTATTTTTACATATAGATTGTAAGTCATAGTTTACCAGAATGTGAAAATCTTTGGCAGTGTGGTTCATTAGAGTCATTATTTTTTTTGACTTTGAATAAAGGCTGTTTCAAGTCATTAAAATCAAAAGTTAGACAAAATGTATTCTTTTATATTGAATATATATTGTAAGTCTCTCTGTAAAAATAGTAATTTAATAGTAATTTCATAAGAAGAATCAGTGGACATAACTGAATTGTTAAGTGTTGCATTTGGAATAACTTTAGATCTAACTTTAAAAGTAAATAACAAAAATAGACTAATAATTATGAGTCTATTTCAGATCAAATCACACTATAAGTTACAGTTGTTCCATAATTAATGCCATTTGAAGTTAAGACTGAGACTGATGCACCTAGGGATGAATTTTTCTTTCAACTTTTCTAAGATTTTTACATTTTAAAAATGGATATGGAAAACAGTATGGAGGTTCTTGAAAAAAATTAAAAAACAGAACTATCATGTGATCCAGCAATTCCACTTCTGGGTATTTATCCAAGGGAAATGAAATCACTATCACAAAGATATTTGCACCCCTCTATTCATTGAAGCATTATTTACAATAGCCAAGACATGGAAATAACCAATGTCCATCGATAGATGAATAGATAAAGAAAGTGTGATATACATATACATATTCTTCAGCCGTAAAAATGAAGGAAGTCCTGCCACTTGTGACAACATGGATGGACCTTGAGGGCATTATGCTAAGTGAAATAAGTCAGACAGAGACAGACAAATACTGTATGAGCTCACTTATACGTGGAATCTGAAAAAACCTGAACTCATAGACTCAGAGAACAGATTGATGGGTTGGTTACCAGAGGTGGGGGGTAGGGAGTGGGCAAAATGGATGAAGGTCGTTAAAAAGTATAAACTTCCAGTTATAAGGTAAATAATTCCTGAGGATATAATGTACAGCATGGTGACTATAATTAACAATATTGTATATTTGAAGGCTGCTAAGAGAGTAGATCTTAAAATTTCTCATCACGAAAAAAAAATGTAACTATGTATAGTGATGGATGTTAACTAAACTTATGGTGGTAATTTTGCAATATATACATATATCAAATCATTATATTGTATACCTAAAACTAATACAATATTATATGTCAATTATATCTCAATAAAATGGCAGTTTCATGTGATTCAAACTAATTATCAGTGAAAAAAACAAAGATTCCTGCCTTCATGGAATTTTCGTTTTAGTGGGAAGTGTATTGCAGTGTAACAAATTATTCCAAAATTTAGTGGCTTAAAACAACCAACAATTATTATCTCACAGTTTCTGTGGGTCATGAATTTGGGAGTGGTTTAGCTGGGTGGTTCTGGCTCAAGGTCTGTCGTGAGGTTGTAAGTCTATATGTCAGCTGAGGCTACAGGCATCTAAAGACAACTGAGTCTGAAGGATCAGCTTTCAAGGCAGTTAACTCACCTAGTAGGAGGCCTTATGTCTTTGCTGGTTATTGACAGGAGGCCTCAATTTCTCACCATGTGAACCTCTCCAAAAGGCTGCTTGAGTATCCTCATGCCATGGCGGGTAGCTTCCCCTAGATGGGGTGATTCAAGAGAGAGGACAAGGAGGAAGCCACAGTGACTTTTTTCCCCTCCTGCAGTGCCTTTTATGACCAATCTTGGAAGTCACACTTTGTCACTTCCACTATTGACTTGGAAGCAAGTCACTGAGTCCAGGCCACACTCAAAGAGAAAGGAGTTAAATTCCACCTCTTGAAGGAAAGGAGTAGCAAAGAATTTGTGAACATATTTTAAAGCCACCACAGGAAGACAGGTAATATGCAATAAACATAGTAAGTAAATTATGGAGTTTATTAGAAGGTTATAAGTTCTATGAAAATAAGAAAAAAATAGAGCAAAGGTAATGGGAATCAGAGTATCTGTGTGTGGAAGGGGTGTGGGATGCAATTTTCAACAGTGTGGTCATTGAAAGACTCATTAGTAAGGTTAGATTTGAGTAGACTTGAAAGAGATGAGGAAGTTAGCTAAGCAAATATCTAAGAGAAGAAAGTCCTAAATCAAGGGAATAGCTAACCCAAAGGCCCTGTGGTGGGGGTAAAATGAGGTGAGAGAAAAGAATGTTAACCATATTTTATTAGTAGAGTATTTTCAGCTGGGGAGGTGGGAAAGTTGAGGAAGGATAATTTATTTTTTTTAACTTAAAGTTTTTTGTTGTTTTTCGGTTTTTAAGTTTTTATTTTATATTGGAGCATAGTTGATGAACAATGTTGTATTAGTTTGAGGTCTACAGCTAAGTGATTGAGTTATACATATACATGTATCTATTCTTTTTCAAACTGTTTTCCCATTTAGGTTATTACAGTGTTTTGAGCAGAGTTCCCTGTGCTATACAGTAGGTACTTCTTGGTTATCTTTTTTTTTTTTTTTTTTTTTTTGCGGTATGCAGGCCTCTCACTGTTGTGGCCTCTCCCGTTGTGGAGCACAGGCCCCAGACGCGCAGGCTCAGTGGCCATGGCTCACGGGCCTAGCCGCTCCGCGGCATGTGGGATCTTCCCAGACCAGGGCACAAACCCGTGTCCCTTGCATCGGCAGGTGGACTCTCAACCACTGCGTCACCAGGGAAGCCCAGTTTATCTATTTTAAATATAGTATTGTGTACATGTCAGCCCCAAACTTCCAATCTATCCCCCCCTGCCCTTCCCTCCTGGTAACCATAAGTTCGTTCTCTAAGTCTGTGAGTCTATTTCTGTTTTGTAAATAAGTTCATTTGTATCATTTTTTTTAGATTCCACATATAAGCAATATCATGTGATATTTATCTTTCTCTGTTTGACTTCACTTAGTATGATAGTCTCTAGGTCTATCCATGTTGCTGCAAATGGCATTATTTCATTCTTTTTTATGGCTGAGTAGTATTCCATTGTATATATGTACTACATCTTCTTTATCCATTCCTCTGTTGATGGACATTTAAGTTGTTTCCATGTCTTGGCTATTGTAAACAGCACTGCAGTGAACATTGGAGTGCATGTCAGAGGAAGGATTATTTCCGTGGCTGAAATTAACAAGTTCATTGTTTCTAATAGGAATATAAAGAAGAAATCAAAATGGATCCAAGTATGAGTGTGAATTCTGTCACCATCTCTGTTGAGGGGATGACATGTAGTTCCTGTGTTTGGACCATTGAACAGCGCATTGGAAAACTGAATGGTGTACATCACATTAAAGTAAGTTACTCCTTGGAAATCAGTGAAGTCAAATGCTGTTGACTGGAATTCTTCTGGGAAATTACTTCTAACACTGAGACAGATGCAGACACACTGACACGTACGACATAAAGACTATCACACTTTTAACCTTGAAGCTGAATAAGTTTTCTTCAGCCCATTAACTTATTTTTTTGTTAAAAAATAAGAAATAATACATTTTTAAAATTTAAAAACATCTGAAGATGGAATCTGGATGTTAATGTTTGTATATTTATCAATATATATTTTATAAGTATATAGATGCTGATATAATTTTTATTACTCTTAATCTCATGTTGATCTAAAATATATGTTCTCAGAGAAAGGACTGTGAGGTTTCTTTCTCTTATAGCATGACAGTTACTATGTTTAGTAATAATGTAGTCTTCTCTAAGAGCATGCATACAAAGTGTAACTAATTTTCTAAACATTTTCACTTCAATGTTATTTAATCAATAAATCATTTTATTTAAAAGAATACGTTACAATTAATTACATTAAGTGACATTACCAAACAGTTTTAGAGTGGTTAGCTCTAGAACAAGGAATGAAAGAAACACTGTTAACCATTATGTGTCTGTGTATTTTCTCTTCACATTTCTTAAATCACAAATAAAAAATAACAAGATACTGCAGTGAAAATACAATTAGTTTCTCGCAAATAAATTAAAAGTGTGTATGGTCTGGGGAAAACTGAAGCCCAGCTCACTGGCTTACAAAGGGGGTGTGATATAAAACTGGTGCCTCCACCCACATCACTCCCCTCTTCGATTCTGTTCTTCCCCAGAGCCCTAAGCTTCCCACACACCCTAGATTACTGCTGAGGAGTGAGCTGACACCATCCTGTATGAGTGAGGCCTGGCATGATGCGCTCAGGTTTAGGGCAAGGGGAAGGCCGTAGGTGAAACTGGAAGATGGGGAACTAAAGACGTGCACTCACTGCCTCTGCTCTCTGAGTATTCAACCACATCACCCTCCCTCCAAAAGGAAGCTAATGTGACACAGTGACTCTGGAAGGAACCTAGCGGTATGTTGGAGTGCAACAGACCAAATGGTTTCTACAGCTGAATCAATCCAGCCAGAGAACATGAAGGAGAGAAGGGAGGGCACAGTTGTCCCTCTAGGTCTGGAGACTTTGGGTCACCCAGGATGCAGTCCCCTTTAAGAAAACTGCCTTCCAGAGCCAGGCCCCTAAGTTGGCAAATTCTGAAATGAAAGAGAGAGGTATCACCTGTTAGAGCCCTATGCTGCTGCTCCAAGCATTGGGTTTGCAAATATAAGAGGGGATAACCCGAAGCTAATGGCCTGGGTAACTAAAGAATGAAACTAGATGGGCTAGGCACGGGCATGCTGAACATTTATCTAATTCCTCCCTGAGAGCTGTCCAGGCCTAGGAGCTGCCCTGAGCACTCGTCTTTGCTGAGCTTAGACTTAGGGCAAGGGGAGGGCAGAAAAATGGAGAGTAAAATAAAAATATAAAGAGCCAGAAAACCCAAAGCATGGCCCAAGGGAACCTTTCTGCAGGGATAGGTTTCTCAGGGCCTGCATTTTCTCCTGATCCATAAAAACTCTGAGCTTTTATCAAAGAGGATAGAAACTCTCTGTTGGGGAGGGAGGACAACAGGAGATCAGGGAGATCCTGCTGGCTATCCTGGGGCAAAGCAGGGGGAAAGGGAGCCTCTCCATTTCCCAGAGACAAACTGCCAAAAAAGACTGTGTAGAAGCCTCCCTGGGCAGAGCCCAGGACTGAGAAAGGTGGTAGGGATTTGAGTTCACTTCAGTTTTTAATTGCAAAAATAAAATTGACTTTTGTTAGACTATCTTAACACATTCCTGCTATAATTCGTCTCAGAATCCTACTTAGTGGAAAAGAGTGGTTTATTTGTATATTCTAATTTTTCTGCAATGAACATGAATTGTTAATATAATTGTTATAAATAAATAAGAAAACCTGAACTTTGTTTAGCGCCTTCTAAACACAAAAGCCAAAAGTACTAAAGTCAACACAAAACTACCCCAAAGGGAACAAAATGATACTGTGCCCCCTCATATCCTGTAAAAAATGTATTTGAATGTGTCCTGTGCTCATTTTTTTGACATAGACATAGTATGTTAAAGCTGCAAGGGGTCTTAGATATGACTTAAGTCGTCTAGCCCCCTCATTTTACAGATCAACAGATTGAAGCGCAGATAAGGAAGTGACCTGTGCTAAGTTACACAGCTACCTAATACCAAACAAAACTAGAACTCAAGTTCCATGATTCCTGGGCCAGTATGTTTCGTGGTCATACAGTGTCTACAGATGCAGTTTAATTTGTATATGGTTCTCAAACTTGTGATCTCCAATTTATTCTTTCACATAACTTCTAAAAATAAAGGAACCTGGTATTTTCATCATAAAGGTGCCTCCTACCACCAAATTGCTGTTTTAGCTCTGTATCACTAGTCTCTATAAATTCTCCTCAGAATAGTTCTAGTATTTTTAGTATGAGACACCTTGAATTATATTTTATTTGTCACTACCTTTTTAATCTTTTTATTTCCATGTTCGTAAAAATGTCTTTGATTTTAAAGCCTTTGGGGTTAAAAAAGTATGTTTTGATTAAGTCCAGCTTTCTCAGCCTCAGCACTATTGACATTTTGGGCTGGATAATTCTTTGTTTTGGGGGGCTGTTCTGTGCTTTCTATGATGTTTAGCAGCATCCCTGGCCTCTACCCACCAGATGCCAGTAGCCTCTCCTCCCACTTGTGACAACCAAAAATGTCTCCAGACATTGCCAGTGTCTCCTAGGGGTGAAATTGCCCTCAGTTGAGGATCACTTCTGTAGTCCCTTCTCAGAGAACCTACTGTACACCCTTTGTCTGTTCAGTTAATATTTGATGATGGTGAATTGATATATCAAACAGGCTCATGTGCCCCTTTCTCTTCATATTAGCTTCTTATGGTTCTTTTTTTTGCCAGTTAGAGGTATAGTGAACAGTGGTTCTCAAACCATACCATGAGAATCACCTGGAGGGCTTGTAAAACATAAATTGCTGGTTCCATGCCCAGAGTTTCTGTTTTAGTAGATCTGAATGGGGCCTGAGAATTTGCATGCCTAATAAGTACCCAGGTAACTCTAAAGGTGCTGGTCCTGGGACCACAGTTTAAGAACCATTATATTGCATGAGCTATACTTACACTGAAGATTATTTATCATTTATCTGAAATTTAAATTTAACTGGGTCTGTCCTGTATTTTTATTTGCTAAATCTGGTAACCCTTCTTTGAAATCATCCTTCCCCTTTACTTTTACTTTTTGTTCCTGTAAGTTTTGCTTTTTAAAAACTGCCATGTAAATGGAATCATATGTTATATAGCCTTTTGAGTCTGGCTTCTTTCACTTAGCATCATGCATTTGAGATTTGTCCATGTTCTTGCATGTATCACTGGTTCTTTCCTTTTCATTGCTGAGGAGTATTCCATTGTGTGGATGTACCAAAGTTTGTTTACCCATTCACCTTTTGAGAGACATTGGATTGTTTATACTTTCTTTTGTGATTATGAAAAGCAGTGCTCTGAATGTTCACATCCAAGTCTTTGTGTGGACATAAGTTTTAATTTCTCTTGGGCAAATTCCTAGGATTTGATTTGTTCCATCATATGATAAGTGTATGTTTAACTTTTTGAGACACTGACAATTGATTTACCACAGTGGCTATACTATTTTATCTTCCCACCAGCAATGTTTGAGGATTCCACTTTTCTCACATTCTCTCCAACACTTTGTATTAACAGTCTTTTTAGTTATAGACATTCTAGTGAGTATGTAGTGGTATCTCACTAATTCACATTCCCTTAATAGCTAATGATATTGAGCATCTTTTCATGTGTTCATTAGGCATTTGTATACCTTTTTTGGTAAAGTGTCTGTCAAACCTTTTGTGAAATTTTTAGCTGGGTGTTTCGTTTTCTTATTATTCAATTTTGATTGTTTTCTATGTGTTCTGAATTGTCTTCTTTTAGATATGTGTTTTGCAAATAATTTTTCCAGTCTGTGGCTTGTCTTTTTAATCTCTTAAAAGTATCTTTCCCAGGGCTTCCCTGGTGGCGCAGTGGTTGAGAGTCCACCTGCCGATGCAGGGGACACGGGTTCGTGCCCCGGTCTGGGAGGAGCCCACATGCCGAGGAGCGGCTGGGCCCGTGAGCCATGGCCGCTGAGCCTGCACGTTCCGAGCCTGTGCTCTGCAACGGGAGAGGCCACAACGGTGAGAGGCCCACGTACCTCAAAAAAAAAAAAAAGTATCTTTCCCAGAGCAGCAGTTTTTACTTTTGATGAATTCCACTTTACCTACTTTTTTTCCTTTATGGAGCATGCTTTTGGTGTCATAGCTAAGAAATCTTGGCCTCACCCAGGATCACAAAGATTTTTCTCCTATGTCTTCTAAAAGTTCTTTCATTTTAGGTTTTGCATTTAGATCTATTATCCATTTTGAATTAATGTGAATACATTATGAGGTATGGGTTGAGGTTAATTTTTTTTAATATGGATGTCCAGTTTTCCAGGCAGCTCTATTTGTTGAAAAGTTTATTCTTTCTCCATTGAATTGCCTTTGCACCTTTGTTGAAAATCAATTTACCATATATTTATGGGTATATTTCTGTATGCTCTGTCCTATTCCATTGATCTGTATGTCTGTCCTTTGGCCAATAAATACCACAGTCTTGATTATTGTAGCTTTATAATAAATCTTTTCTTTTTTTTGGAGCAGAGAAAGATTTATTGCAGGGCCAAGCAAGGAGAATGGGTGGCTCATGATTGAAAAACCTCCTTAAGTCCCTAATGGTTTTCAGGGGGAAGTTTTTAATAGGAAAAATTTGGGGTGAGGGCTGCAGGGTGTGTGACTTTCTTCTGATTGGTGGGTGGTGAAGTAACAGGATGGTGCTCCAGGAATCTCGTATTCAGCCTGAAGTTAGCATCCTCCACCTGGGTGGAGGC